GAGAATAAAAGCCACCTAGCTCGGTATCCTCCGATGCATGAGCTGGCTGGGCTAGCTCGTTCCGTGTGGTTTCAGATAAAGCTTCAAATAACTGGCAACCATAATACAAGCCCCAAGGCGGGTAAGTGTCATTACTCTGAAGCATAGGTTATTTCGCTGCACTAGCGCACACTAGCGCACACCAGCTCGGAGCACTTGGAGCGAAAGCTCGCGCTGCAGGAACCCAGGGATCCTTGGCCCTCCGCCTTGGCCCAATCCTCGCCCCTGCCCGTTTCGATCTGGAGGAGCACCGTACCGGCGTGCGGTCGTTTATCTCTATTGTGTGATGCCTGGCGGTGGTACTGCACTGGCTAAATTGCTCATCTACAGTGGGTAACAATGTCCCGCTGCAAAAAAGAACGAACGAGTAATTAATCACCTTTGCGAGTATGTTTGATTCAAATTTGTAAGGTAACCCACTTTTGATAAATTACCCAAGCACTGAGGAGCCTGCTGCGAGTGTACTTACACTTGGTAAATGTGCTGGAATTTTTAACAAAAGCTCAGGTTTAAAAAAAAAAAAAAGAAATGGAAACAAATGGTATTTTGTTTGTGCGTCGGTCGACGCCTTATTAGTTAGTTGTTTACTTCGAATGTTTCATATAAATAAAGGTGAGCGCGTCAAGCACGTGTGCTAAAGTTCCCAGCACTCTCTTTGTACCCGGGTAATTTGGCAGAAGGTCCATTGAACAGAAAAGCACGTGTCAACAGCAGCTCTAGAGAAGGAGCAATCACCCTGGCAACATAAGAGATCTGCGCGTCACGTACAGGAAGTTCAAGAAAAGCCAATTTTTGCCACTGTCACCGTCTGCCTAAGAGATAAACTAATCTTATTTGCTATTCCATCTATGTGTACTGGCCTCGAGCTTTCTAGCGGTCTACTTAGTGGTCTTGAGCAGAAGAAAGGCCCCCTTTGCGCCACTTTTCCACTGGAGAACATATTCTCATTGCTGTTGTTTCGTTTATATACGTTCTTAGTGGTTTTGTGTTGAAAAAAGGTCTTCTGACGTTCATCCCGAACCTTGTGTTCCTGCAGGGGCGGATCCAGGAGAGGGGGGGGGGGCGATGGGAGCGGCCGCCCCCCCCCCCCTCCCCCCCAAACAAAGTCGACGGGCAATTTGACATGGGTGGACCCCCCACCCTCGAAATAAAACCGACTCCCGGCTTGCCAGGAGGTAGAAGACTCGGTACTCAAGGACGGGGGTTCAAAATAAGGTAGGTCGCACCCTAGCAGGCACACTTGTACTCTGAACTCGGAGAAGCACTCCGTCGCTTCAACCGAGACTGAAGTCCGCGGCGGCGAGCATCTAGGGGCCGTCGGCGCAGTGTGGTTCTGCGGCGGCTAAAACAAAAGGCGCAACCGGAGTCCTGTTTATGCTACTTTAGATTTTCCGGACGTCCCCCCTCCCCCATATCCCCCTCCCCCCCTCCCCCATATCCCCATACCCCCCCCAAACAAAGTTCTGGATCCGCCTCTGTGTTCCTGTGGTTTCATCTATAAAGATGCTTAGTGTCCTCGAGCTGAAGCATAATCCCCTTGTGCCATTTGTGCCGTCTGTCGGGTGGAGAACATTGTATCACTGCCATTGTTCACTCTAAGAAATATGGGATGTATAGGGGAAAGGAATGTATACACCCCTTTCCCACATGTAAGACCCCGAAGCAACAATTCAACGTTCCGTCCACAGACGTCGAAACGACGATACCAAATTTCAAGAGCGTCTTGATAGTCGATCGATACAACTTATTAAAATATCTAATGTACGCATTAAAGGCTACAGTAAGACAACCAAGCTTGCTTGACCCTGCTGCAAAGTCTCAGTGTTTCTTTTTAGATGCGGAGCATCTCTTGCTCGGGCTATGTCCCGCAGCGTCGTAGTCCGCACTCACACTACGCATGCGCAACTCTCCTCGCTGCGCGTGCGTTCTCTCTCTCTCTCCAACAGCTGCGCGAAGTGCACGCAGCTACCCGCTGCGTCCCTCTCTCCAACAGCTGCGCGTGCGTTCTCTCTCTCTTCAACAGCTGTGCGAAGTGCACGCAGCTACCAGCTGCGTGCACTTCGCGTGCGTTCGCTTCTACTCACACCGCGCGCCCAGGCGCAACTCTCCTCCTCTAGTTTCTTCTCCTTCAAGTTTGAATATAAGCAGAGGTAGGCGCGCTGCGCGCGTTCAAAAAAAGAAAATGGCCAAACAAAAAAAAACAACAAAAAAACGGGAAGTGGCCGAGTGGGCTAACGCGTCTCAGCTCGGAGCGTGGAGCGAAAGCTTGCGCTGGGAACCTCCTGGGTTCGATCCCCGCCGCCCCCGCCCGTTTCGATCTGGATGAGTTTCGTACCGGCACGCGTTCGTGTGATGACTACTGCGTGATGCACGTTAAGAATCCCAGGTTAGCGGTTGTACTGTACTGGCTAAATTTCTCACCTACAGCTAAGAGACCGATTACCCGTTGAGGCGCACCTCCATCAAGGCTGTATAAACATAAAGAGCAAACCAATTTCTGCGCGCGTTCAGTTCACCGCTGTTGACTCCACTCCGTTCTTCCGATGAAGTGTGATGGAACGATGCTCCGCATCACCCCATGGTTCCCCTCGGGAAGATGGTGTAATTTTTTTGTAGTCTTTGATACGCACATTAGCTATTTAGTACGTTATATCCTACAACTATCAAGCCTATCGTAAAAGTTGGTATCGCCAGCTCGACGTCAGTGGACAGAACAACGAAATGTAGTTTTGGGGAGTTACATATGGCACGAGGACTATACCCCTATACACCCCTTATTTCTAAGAGTGTTTCGGCATGCTAAAGGGTCTTGAGCTATCTCTTTCCAAAATTTTAGAGGGTCTTGTTTTCATAAGGTTGTGCTGGAATAACGTCGATATGCTCGGTCTGCTTCCTATACATAGCTTGCAAGCGTCGCCATTGCTGGGCACTGGCGATAATTTCTACTTTCTTCGAACTACAACTTCTGCGGTGTGAAACTAACTCGGCGAACCGCACGGTCGTGGCGTATAAAATACCGACATGACCGTGAATGACGTCACATGTAGGCTATGTATAGACCCTTTCAGGCAACATTTCATGGGCGCCGCCATCTTGACGTCACGTGACCCTGCCGCCATAGCCGCCCTTCAGTTTCTCGCCGTTCCTCCGCGTTGTGTGCTGCACCGGCCACTACCGGAGCTTTGTTTTCGCGTTATTTTACGTTCCACGTTGAAACAGTGTGTTTTCTTTAGGTATTTTGGATATTTCAGGGTTTCATTTAATCATTTCATATCTATATTTCAAGATAGTTCTTGTATTTTCTTATTTATGAAATGGAATCGGACAGCGAATGGATCGACGGTACAAGATTATGAAACTTCAATGACCATGTAAGTTCATCCCCTTCTAACGTTTTTCTCGCTAATAAAGAGCAGTCAACACCATTGCGACATTAGCAAATTTCAACTGACGCAGTAAGGCTATCGCAGTCGTGCTTCTCGCTGCATGTGCGCGCTCGTTTCTGTAAAGCCGACCCGCATGCAAGCGATTTAGCGTGCGACGAGACGAGCGACGGCGACAACGACGAGAGTCAGCGACGAAGATTTCTCACTGTCGCCTGTTGGATCGTTCGGTTTTTTGGGTTTCTAGAAAACGTCGCTCACCGTCTTGGTCGCTTGCTCCTGTCGCTTCCATGCGGTTTGCCTCATCGCGCGACTGCCCGAGCGACAGCGACGCGGGTCACCGTCGCTTGTCTCGTCGCTCGCCGAATCGCTTGCATGCGATTTATATTTAATATCGAGGCTCCAATGGTTCAATGGTGTGTGCATCGAAATTAATTGAGTATAAACCGCATGTAAGCGATTTGGCGAGCGACCAGATAAGCGACGGCAACCCGCTTCGCTGTCGCTCAGTCAGTCGCGCCACGAGGCAAACCGCATGGAAGCGACGGAGCAAGCGACCAAGACAGTGAGCGACGTTTTCTAGAAATCCCAAAACCGAGCGATGTGACGGCGGAAGTGAGAAATCTCCGTCGCTCGTCTCGTCGCACGCTAAATCGCTTACATGCGGGTCGGCTTTAAGGAAACGAGCGCGCACATGAAGTGAGAAGCACGACTGTGATAGCCTTACTGCGTCAGTCGAAATTTACATATGCCGCAATAGTGTTGACTCTTCTTTATTGGCGACAAAAACGTAAGAATGGGATGAACTTACATGGTCATTGAAGTTTCATAATCTTGTATCGTCGACCCATTCGCTGTTCGATTCCATTCCATAAATAAGAAAATACAAGAGCTATGTCGAAATATAAATATCATATGACTACATGAAAGTCCTAAATATCGAAAAGACCTAAAGAAAATACAAGATTTCAACGCGCAACGTAAAAGAACACGAAAACAAAGCTCCGGTAGTGGCCTGTGCAGCACACAACGCGGAGGAACGGCGAGAAACTGAAGGTCGGCTATGGCGGCCCGGAAAGCGCGCGAAGGGCGCGCCGACTGGTGGCAGTTCGAGTAACTGACTCTCCGGCTGGTGTCATTTTCAGCCTTCGTGCGTATGGCGCGTGTTTTGCTCGCTTTCCAAAGCGACGACCGTGTGCGTACAGATCGCACGCTGGACTGTGAATTTGTAAACATTGGAATGGGGTATAGTACCCGGGTTGCAATTTTAAACAAATAGAAATATGACGTCGCTCGAGACAGCCCATGCACATAACGACGATCGCCATTTCCAGTTTTGGTGACCGTCTTGGTAGGCATGCATGTCTGCTTTGACCGATGAAGCCCAAAATGGAAGACCCGCCGATGAGCTACGGAAACGACTAGATGCATTCGGTTGCAAGGAGGCAGTGCTGGCACAGTGGGAGCGTATACGGGCCCATAGCGGCCACATGACTGGCATGGGGGGCCCAAAGAAGAGCGCATGCAGGGGCCATGAGCCCGTGGCTCGGGCTGCGCGCCCGTTCAACAATGGGCCGGCATGAGTGTCTGCAGCCGCCAGCAGGTTCTTCGAACACAACGTGGTGGGCTTTCGGATGGTCGGTGTCTGCGTGGCCTCTTGTCCCTCTCATCTGCGGTCGCAGCAAAAGTCTTGAACCATGAGCACTGCAGCCAGGGACCTACCCACGCGAAGCGTGTCGTCGGCCCAGTGCCTCATCCGTGAGGGCTACACTGTGGGCAGAACCATTGGCGAAGGCTCCTACTGCAAAGTCAGGTGGGTCTTGCCCGCCCGGAATATGGCGCCCGCTGCAGCCGCCGTAGACCTAGTCGCGAGCGCGCCAGAACCTGGATGGCTCTGTAAAGTGCATTTGCCATTTCTTCTGATTTATTTTTCGGGGAAAATAGAACCAATTTTATTTTTTGCTTCTCTCTCTAGACTTCTCCACTGAATATATTTACTTGAGGCCCCTTATTTTTATTTATCGACGGCATTTTACGGCGGATAAAGAAATCAGGTGCCGAAAATTGCCTTTGAATTGGTTCGCAACTGAAATGGCATAGCGGGCAGATGCCCGCTAAGCCTATTTATCACATGGTGTCCTTGACTGACTGCGACTGATGCTTAGTTATTTGAACAGTGCATGCAAAATCGACCTCTACAAAAGCAGGTCACACATTTTGTTGGATAATTTACCTTCAGCACTTCACAATTACTTAACGTGAATTTGTTTGTCGCAGCATACATAGCTTGCAAGTGTCGTCATTGCTGGATAGTGACGGTTATTTCTACTCACTGATTCCTTTGAACTACAATTTCTTGGGCGTGACGCTAACAGGGCGAACCGAACGCTCGCGGTACACAAAATACTGGCATGGCCGCGAATGACGTCCCATATGCGAGCTACGTATTGCGTTGACCATTAACCCCGATGCAATTGTACCGCGAAAGCGCGATGGTTGATAGACACGCAAAAATAATTTAGTTCGTAAAACACACTTCTATTTTGCATGTTTTAAAACATGTTTTAATTTTTTAAAAGCTTTTATGAAGGTTTTGTTTACTTTTCAAAGGCTAACATAAAACAAAAAAGTCTTCAAGCAGCGGTATCGACAATTCTCGAAAGGCAGCAGAACAAAAATAAATATCTGATAAAACCTAATAAAATCTGTAAGCTCTTTCAACCTCTACTTTGTTCCCTATCTTATTTATCAAACTTTTCTCGACTACAACGCTCAGGGGAAAGCCAGCGAGCAACCTTAAAAAAATTAAAACGAATTCCTTACACATTTAGCTTATTTAGGATGGCCGCCGTGAAGCCAGGGTTTTATGGATGTTATAGTCCGTTGCAACTCAAGAAGGTAGGGCGAGGGAAAGGAAGGCCGGGGAGAAGGAAGCAGACGAAGCGCTAACGAAAGGAGGAGGGTTCTCCCTCTCTTCACTAGCGTTCCGTCTGCTTCCTCTTCCCCGGCCTTCCTTTCCCTCGCCCTACCCTCTTGAGTTGCAACGGACTATGGTGCTCCACCACAACCAGTCAAATGCAAACTTTGCTAGGGACACCTATTGTCTTGTAGTTCGACTAATTTAAGAAGCATGTTCTTTCACTTCGAGTCTCGGCGCGTTAATATTTGAACAAGATCAACACAGAAACCAGCATGTCACTTCACTGACTACATACATTTGCAAGTGCGGCCTCTGGGCGCCGTCATCTTGCTGCTGGTGTGGGTAGATCGTCTGATAGTCAAGCATTGCTGAGGCCGTGGGTACGCCTCAGCAATGCTTGACTATCAGACGATCTACCGATACCAGCAGCAAGATGACGGCTCCCAGAGGCCGTACTTGCACACGTCTATGGTCACTGGCAACTTAAGAATCGCATGGCGTAACGAGCCACGAGCATCTTCTGTATGTCCCGCAGCCAATAATATTCTTGCATTTGCCGACAAGAACGCCAAAGAACAAATCACGAACATAATTAGCCCCGACGCCCTGTGTTTTTCAAGCCGTCAACGACTGTGACCGTCTCCCATAGTAAAGTGTGGTCATAGTAAAGCTGGAGCCTCAATCAGCTGAACCTGGGCGCAGGGAGATCTGCAAGGCGCAGGAACGGTACGCGGTCAAAATCATCGCCAAGAACCAGACGTCGTCGGACTTCGTGAACCGGTTCCTGCCCCGCGAGCTGGACATCCTGCCCCGGATCGAGCACCCGAACATCGTCAAGGTGTACCGTATCCTCCAAGTCCGGGAGAAGGTCTTCATTATCATGGAACTCGCAGAACACGGGGACCTTCTGGACCACATTCGAGTGAGCCCTGCCACTCTGCAGTCTGGAGCCCTATACGGACTTCAGACTATACGGCGTGTGCAACTTCATTTGCTCGGACTTTGTGATATTATCATGGCCAGTAATTTGCGTCAGGCACTCCTAGTTCACTTATCTGTCTCCACACGGCGTATTCACCTTTAACGCCGTGTGCGAATCCCCGCAAAGGCTGAGTGTCTGCCGAGTGTAAAAAAAACAGCAACTTCAAAGGTAAAAAAAAGATGAGATAATAGCCGCGTTTACATGAATGCGACCTGGCTGCGCCGGAGCCGTTCGGTCCCGGGGTCCGGTTTGTCTGGTCGTGGTCGGCGAGGTTTGGCGAGGCGAAGCGTGATGGCGTCCTCAGAGCGTTTGGAAACGATCTCGCTCGCCAGGGCGTCCGCGCATACGTCGCCTCTGGTACAGAGTGGCACGGGACCGGGCCCGGCCCGGCCCGGCCCGGAAACGCTTGGGTTTTGATGTTTCTTCCGGCTGGCTATGTGGAAAATAAGTCGTCTGCTTCTAGCGCAGGGGTAGCGGTGACGTCAGAACGACGCCGAGTTCTGATTGGCTTTGATTGGAAGGATAGTGGGTAGACCTTGATCCTAGATGCCTTCAGGTCTACCCACTACCTTTTTTGGATTAGCCAATAAGAGCTTGGCGTTCTGACGTCGTCGCAACCTCTGTGCAAGAAGCAGACGAACTTGCGCTCCGCATTGGGCATGAAACGTACGCTATTATCACTGACTGATGCCGTACAGGACGTATCTAAGGATGGATCGTCAGCTGATGTATTTGAGGCACATAACTTCTACGCGATGATTTCTATCCACTTTCCGCCTGGTGCAATGTTTTCACCAATAAAAAGAGCCGTTGAATTTAGAACGAAAAATAACCGTTTAATGAGGCAGATTGTGCCTACAAACATAAAGGGAAATGTGCCACGCATATTGTGTCGGCGACGGAAGGGTGACTGACCCGAAGCAGCGCGTTTTCGATACTTTCACACACGGGTCACTTTCAGGAATGTTCTGAACAAGAACACTGGATGACAGTCGAGGATGCGCTGGAATTTCTTAGGAGAGCACAGATTAATTAAAATAAGAATCCGGGCCGAATGGGATTTGAACCCCATTCCTCTACGTGACAGCCGTACGCGTTGCCAACTCCGTCAGGTACGGGGCAATATCGCCTATACGTCGTTTCGCCTTCCAAACGCAGCAGACGCTATATATGAGCTGATGGGACCAATCAGAGAGCGTCAAAAGTGCACCGTCATAGTGTTCGCCGCGTTTCTGTACGTATTATATCATTGCTAAACAAGTCGTAAACAGAAAAGGCCCAGTGACTTGCGCTTTTGAGGCTGCTTGATTAGTCCCATTGGCCCATAGCGTCGGCTACGTCTGGACTTGAGCTCGAACGAACTATAAAAAACTACACTCTTAAAAAAAAAAGCTAGTAGTATTTACTAGGTAAAAGCTAGTAACCGCTTGTCACATATATTTCTAGGTACGTAGTAACCGTAGATAGTAACGGTCAAGCTAGTAACGGTCACTAGATCAAGAAGCTAGTGTTTGTCACTAGCCCCAAAGTAGAACCATTGGAAGAACACGTGTATTTCACTACCTCTAACTATAGTCGGTGACAGGTCAAGAACGAAGTGGAAGCTCCTCCCACCCCTCTCCCCTTTGGCAGAGCGAACGCTGGAGACCGAGGCGACCTCCTCTCCAGCACTCGCTCCCTAAAGTAGAAAAAGGTGGGAGGAGCTTCACCTCCCGACAGAAGACCGGAAACGCAACGAGTCACGTGATTTCCGGTAAAAAAGGCGAGTGTAGTTGTATTACTTACCACCAGATGGCAAGCGCAACAAAAATTAAAACTGGAAATGAGTAATCCATTATCATTCCAACGCTTCTCTGAAAGACAAACAATTCCTTAGCCCCTCTTTCACTTGTCCCCGCATCGATCCCAGTCTTAAAGTTGGCATACCTCATTGTGAAACTTCAGCTTACTTACTGTAGTGGAGGGGTTCGAGCCGAGGCGGCCGAGGTGACGGCCAGAGCCGAGGGCCGCGGAGGAAAGAGTGACACAGCTGACGCTCCGAGTGCTCGGACGGAAAAGGCCCTGTTTATTCATGCACGCCCTTTTTACGTACACCCTAGAGGGCGCCGAGTAGCTCACTGCGCCTACACGCCCTCTACATCCCCCCTTTAGAGAAAACAAACAAGAGCCACACTTAGCTCCCAAGGAACGTAATGAATGACCTAAGCCATATGGTGCGCTACGAGTTCAGCCGCACCGGTGGCCTAACGCAGCGTCCAGACCTAGTGCGCACACCCGCCGCAGGCAGTCTTGAGGGAGCAGCAGGAGACCCCTCTGGCGATGCAACTGGTAGAGGACTAGCTGCCCTGGGAGTGGGACTGCTGCCCGCAGGCTCTGGGCGAAGTGGAGACCGTGGTGGACCTTGGGATTCCTGCGGCCCTGGACCAGAGCTGCTGAGGTCGCAACCACCCGTTGATGGAGACTGCTGCGGTACCAAATGTCTTCGGTTCCGGACGAGGGCACCTGCATCCGTCTGGACCACGTAGGAGCGTGGACGCTGTTCTGGGCTAAGGACTGTGCCAGCACAATTTGCGTCGCGTATCCACACTCTCTCCCCCTCCCCCAGGGGACGCAAAGCATGCGCAGCATGCCGGCGGTCGAAATCCTGACGCTGGCGACGTCGTTGGGCAGTGTCGCGCCTGTGGAAATCAGCCGCGACAGGCGATCCTGGAACCAACATGGCGGTTGGGACTGGGAGGCGGGTCCGGAGGCTACGCCCCATGAGCAGCTGAGCGGGGCTGTACCCAGTCACCCCCGGTGCGTTACGGTAGGACAAGAGGGCCAAGGGCCAGTCTGGAGACTTCTTGAAAAGTTCCTTGACAATCCGCACCATCCGCTCGACTTCACCGTTGGACTGGGGATACCTGGGACTGCTGGTGACGTGGGAGAAGCCGTAGTTCTGGGAGAAGGCACGGAACTCTGCTGAGGAAAACTGAGGTCCATTATCGCTGACAAGGGTCTCTGGGATACCATGTCTTGCGAAGACACTTTTGATAATGGAGATCACCGCCGTGGATGTCGTCGTGCGGAGGGACAGCACTTCTGGGTGCCTCGAGTAGTAATCAACGAGAAGAAGGTAGTCTGTACCTTCGTGATAAAAAATGTCCACACCGACTCTCTCCCAGGGGCGGCTAGGCGTCACAGTAGGGAGCAGTTGCTCTGCTCGCTGGACCCGCGTGGTGGCGCAGTTGGGACAGTTCTCCACCATTGCCTTTATCTGGCTGCCCATGGTCTGCCACCAGACAGCCTCTCTGGCGATGGCGCGGCAGCGGTTCACTCCCAGGTGTCCGTCGTGGTTGAGGGACAGGACGTGTTTCCGCAGAGAAGCCGGCACCAGTAGATGTACCCCGCAGAGGAGGAGGTCGTCGCCGACACTGAGTTCAGCGCGATGGCCCCAAAACTGAGCCATGCTGACAGGCAGACTTTCTTTCCGAGGCCACCCTTGCTCGCAGTACGCCCTCAGCTGAGCGCACTCCCAACCCGCAGCCTGGTGGGCACGGAAGTCGTCGAGGAGGACCGCAAACGTGGAAGGGATAGCGCGGAGCGCTTCTTGGACCTACAGCTCAACCTTGTCGATGGCTGGAGTCGTTGGCAACCGGTCGACCGGGTCCCGCGAGAGTGCATCTGCGGTAGCCAACTGTTTCCCAGGCACATACTTGACATCAAACTGGTACTAGAGGAGACGGATACAAAAGGCGCTGGATCTGGGGTGGCATGAGGTCAAGGTCCGCGGTTCCAAGAGGCTTGACCAACGGCTGATGGTCAGTCTCCAGGGTGAAACGAAGGCCCCGCAGAAACTTGTCGAAGCGGGTAATGGCCCAGGTGGCAGCCAGTGCCTCTTTTTCGATCTGGCTGTATCTTTGTTCCGTTTTTGTCAGTTCACGGGAAGCGTACGCAACTGGTCTGCGATCCCCTGATGGCTGGTCTTGAAGAAACACTGTACCCAGCCCGAAGGAACTGGCATCTGCAGAGACGGTCGTCGGGAGTGCAGGGTTGAACCTTGCGAGGCAGATGTCCGAGGACAGCATGGTCTTAAACTTCTCAAACGCTGAGGCTTGCGCTGGTCCCCACGTCCAGGCCGCAGTCTTGTTCAGGAGGCTTCGGATCGGTGCAGTCGTCTGAGAGAGATCCGGGAGGAAGCGACCGACATGGTTGAGCATACCCAGAAAGCGTTGGACACCATGAATGTCCCGAGGAGCTGGCATACACTGAATGGCCGCCACCTTGTCTGGATCAGGAGCAATGCCGTTGGCACCGACGACGACACCGAGGTACTTCACGCTTGACACGCCGAAACTGCACTTGGCGGCGTTGAGGGTGTCCCCCACTTGTTGGAGGTGACCGAGGACAGCTTGGAGGCGCTGGTCGTGCTCTTCTGTGGTGCGACCAAACACGAGGATGTCGTCCATGAGGTTAACAACGCCGGCCAACTCTTCCAGCAGGCGAGACATCTGACGCTGAAAATATTCCGGGGCCGACGTAATGCCGAATGGGAGGCGGCAATAGCAGTACCTGCCAAACGGAGTGATGAAGGTCGTATACTTCTGGGAGTCCCGGGCCAAACGTACTTGATGGAAGCCTGCAGTTGCGTCCAACTTCGAAAAAACGCAGGCATCGCCGGGAAGTCCGAGGGTTTGGTCGACGGTCGGGAGTACGTGGCGCTCACGCAGATCAACTTGTTTGAGCTTGGTCAAGTCGACGCAAAGGCGGTACCCCCCCCGCTGGCTTCGGTACGACGACAAGGCCGGCACACCAGTCCGTCGGTTCGTCGACGCGCCGGATCACGCCCTCCTGCTCCATCTTGTCGAGCTCCTTCTTGACCACGTCTCGTAGGGGTATCGGGATACGCCGGGCTGTGCTGAGGGAATACGGTACCGCGTCCGGCTTGATGCGGATCGTGT